TCTTCTTCCCTAACCAAAAGCAGAAACCATTAATTTAAAAAAAAATCATTGAATTTATTGGAGTGACAGTGGCTAATAAAATTACCATTACTCTTTCATCACAGCACATAACACATATCTTACAGAACTTGTCACTCCATATAGACTATGAAATCCTTATCAAGGATCATGTCTTACTTATCTTGTGACCTCCAGAATATAGCACAGTGTCTAACAAAAAAACAGGAGCACAATAAATTAAATAGTTAAATGAAAATAGGGAGTATCCAAAAAATAATCTTTAAGTATGTAAAGTACTGCAGGATTTAGAATTGTAATTCCAGTAAGGGTGCATGTATTTTTAAATCTAGTACCAATACCATTCTATTTTAGTAAAACTATAATAAATTGAGATAATTGGTTTAAATGGACTTATTAACTTAGTCTAAGGAAACAAACTCGAGCAGACCTAAAGTAAACAAATTAAGGCACACCCATACAATGAGATGTTATATAGCTGTTATTATAATTTAAATCTACACAAACGGATAGATGTTAGGAATGAACTCTGCCCACTAGTCCCTGATGTTTAGACATATATTTACTTATAAAAGTATCTTTCAATCCCAAATATACTGTACTATTAACCAAAAGACTATAATTACCAGTGAGTAATTTATTTAGGTGCTACTTTAACAATGTGGTGATTGCGGCGGGGTGGTGGTGGTGGAGAGTATAAGGGGACTAAATGGTAATAAAAAAACCACAATAAAAATAAATAAAATTCTTTAAAAAGAATTTTGAGATTTGAAATAATCACTATCTGTTACATTTCTTTTCTTCCAAGTGATTAACAAACAAGGAAAATAAAGTGATACATTATTACCTGACATATTTTGCATGGTACAATTTCCTCAAGATAGTTAAATACCATACTGTTTGATTTTTCATCACAGTGTTTTCTAGAGTATGTCCTGTAAGTATGATTCTCTAGGTATCACACCAAAAGAACAACTGGCAAAAGAAAAAACCGAATTTCATAAAAATTAAAAATTTGCTTCAAAAGACATCATCAAGAAAGTAAAAAGGCAGCATGCAGAAAGGGGAAAAAATGTGCAAATCATTATCAATCAAAAGGTCAAATAAGAGACTTTTAACTAGAAGGTATAAAGAAATCCAACAACTTAATGGAAAGACAAAAGATCTAATCTAAAAATGGGCAAAGGATCTGAATAGACGTTTCTCCAAAAACACGAATGGCATAGTATGTGAAAAGATGCTCAACATCATCAGCCATCAGGGAAATGAAAAATCAAAATGACAATGAGATACTACTTAACAGTCATTAAGATGGCTATAACAAATAAGACAGGTAACAGATCTTGGTGAGGATGTGGAGAAACTGGAATCACCACACACTGCTAATGGGAATGTAAAATGATGCAGCCACTTTGGAAAAGAGTCTGGCAGTTCCTCAAAAGAGTAAAGAAAAAGTTGCATATGTCCATACAAAATCCTGTACATGAATGTTCATAGCAGCATTATCCATAAGACCAAGAAGTACAAACAACTCACATATCCATGAACTGATAAATCTATAAAAATATCTATACAATGGAATACTATTTAGTAACAACAAAAAAAATGAAGTAGTAACACATGTTACAAGTTCGATGAATCTTGAAACCATGTGAATTGAAAGACATCACACAAAAAGGCAGGCACTGTATAATTCCATTTATATGAAATGTCCAGAAAAGGCATATCTACACAGACAGAGAGTAGATTAGTGTTTAGCATGGGCTGTGGGAAAGGAGTCAATGGGTAGTGACATAAATGTGTATGGGATTTCTTTTTAGGAGGATGAAATATTTTAAAATGAGATAGTGGTGATAGTTGTACATCACCTCTGTGTGAATTTTTGTATGGTGTGTGAATTTTACATCAATAAAATTGTTATTTTAAAAAAGTATATCCCTTTCTTGGCATACTACCCAATTATAACACTATGCCAATGATATTCCTAATAACACCAGGAAAGGTGTTCCTTCAAACACTCTGATTTGAGCTTTCCATTTAAAACCTGAAATGACATCAATATAGATTTTTTCCTTCTAAAATTCAATCAGAATTACATTATATCCATATACAATATGCACACATATCTGTCCCTATATCATTAATCATAATATAATAGTAACAGGGTCCTGGCTGGGCAGCTCAGTTGGTTTAGTTTCCCCCTTGATTCACCAAGGTTGTGGGTTCAATCTCAGGTTTGCACATACCATGAATGCATAAATCAGTGGAACAACAGACTGATGTCTGTCTCAATCCTCTCTCTCTACCCACCCTTTCTCCCTTTCTCTAAAATCTAAAATTCAATTTAAAAATGAAAAGAAAAAGCAACAATAATTATAATAGTGCCCTGGCTGGTGTGGCTCTGTGGATTTAGCGCTGTCCTGCAGACAGAGTGCCCCAGTTGGGGGCATGTGAGAGGCAACCATACACTGATATTTCTCTCCCTCTCTCCCTCCTTTACCCTCTCTCTAAAGATAAATAAATAAAATATTTTTTAAAAACAGTAATTATAATAGCAAAATGACTATAATGCTTAAATTATAAAAGAAAATTGAACCCCCCTAAAAATCAACCACACCACCATCAATGATTTTAAGATTCTTTCAAATTTTTATGTGTCTAAAATAGATTTGTTGTATTTATATTGTATATACAATTTTTCCTATGTATTTCATTATTCAATGATTATGAATAAGTACATAACAGTCTACTCAGGGTTTATCCCCATATATACAAGTATTTAGTAGCTGGACAAACATAACATTTCAAGTTACAGAACTTACACTCTAGGTCATAATATTTCTAAAAAAAATTTATGTTTAGTTATTGAGACCATTCACTTGTTAAAGTCTGCTAAACAAACATGCTCCTAAGCCAAAGGATCATTTTCAATCAAAATCATTACATAAGAAACACACACAGACATATACACACCACACCAAAGGGGTGAGGAAAGATAAAGAATACCAATGGACAGAAAGTCTAAAGTAGAGAAGTTGACCCATAAAAAGATTCATGAGCATTTCTCGCATATTTTGTCCAAGAAAACTCCTCTGACTAAAGTGAAAACTTCTGTGGAGACAATACATCACTATGCTGCCATTATGATTAATGCCATAGCACCAAATATTTGAGCATGTGGCATGTGAAGAGAAACCTCATATGTGTTGATTTAAATACTGCTGCATTTTGGCCTGTAACTGTTTAGCTAACACTGAAAAAGAATTGTAAAGTTCTGTCTAATTTCTTCTAATTTCCAGAATTCCAACTGTTGAAGTATAGCAACTAATTTCAAAAGCCCACCAACAACTTTAACTGACTAGATATGTAGTGATATTATAAAAAGTTAAAAAAATCTAGTATTTTGAAAGAAATAAAAGGAATAAGTTTTACAGATGTTGATATAAAATCAAGCCATTATATTAGCAAAGTATAAAGTTCATTTATGTTGTTTTTAGATTCCATTTGTAAGTAAAACCATATGGTATTTGTTTTTCTGTGTCTGACTTAATTAATTCAAGAAAATTTCCTCAAGGTCCATTCAAGATGTCACAAATGGCGAGACTTTATTATCTTCTTGCTTTACAAATATTTCTTAATGACTATCAAGTCAGCATTCTGGAGCTCTGGTCTTGCTTTTGCTATTAGAAATATGTGTTCTTGAATGTCCCTTAACCTTTCTGGATTTCAGCTATTAAAAAAAGAGAGTATCAGATTAGCTGATCTCTTTGATTCTTTCCACATGTAATACTCCACAATTCCCTTCCTGACCTCAGAAAGAATTTGGCATGTTAATTATAATATTCATATAATTTTTTATATGATATCACAAAGATTCTTAGTGTTCATTCACTTCATATATCTTACATGTCTTATCTACTCCACTAAATTATAAATTTCTTGACAGAAAGAACCATCTATTTTTTTTAATTGAGGTAACAATGATTTATAACATTAGATAAGTTTCAGGTGTAGGCACCTATGTCTTAAATGAAGGCACTTAATACCTACTGAATAAGAAAAGTATGAGGTATTTGACACTACAAAACAAAATGTTGAGTATCATTGTTTTTTTAAAATATTTTTTTATTTTATTTATTTTTTAGAGAGGGAAGGGAGGGAGATAGAGAGAGAGACATCAGTGTGTGGTTGCTGGGGGTCATGGCCTGCAACCCTGGCATATACCCTGACTGGGAATCGAACCTGCTACACTTTGGTTCGCAGCCCGCGCTCAATCCACTGAGCTACGCCAGCCAGGGCGAGTATCATTGTTTTCTAAACATTTTTTCCAGTCTTTTTAAAAAAACCTCCTTTTGTGATGCTTTTCATATTCCCTTTCATATTTCCTTATTACCTAAACCACACACACACACACACACACACACACACACACACACACACACACACAGTACTTGGGGAACGTGAGAAAAGAAGCTTACTGAAAGCAGACTGAAAAACCTTTAGATACCATTATTTTCTTGTTCCTATGTAAGATTAAGGAACAGTTAGCAGTTGAGGATCAGGGTAATAGAAAGTATGAAACCACGACAACCACCAATACCTCTACCACCACCATCATCTTAAAGGGTATTTTAAAAAAGGAGTAAATAAGGTGGGGTGGGGTGTTAAGAGATATATTACCTAACAGCAAAGGAAAAGATGCTCAGTGATTTCAAAAGCATCTAAAAATGACTTGGACTTTTTCTATCATCACAAAGAGAACATAGGAGTTCACGTTATAATGGAAAAATTTCAAGGCTGTTTGGAGATTTTACCTATCATTACACCCCTAAAGAACAATCAATTTCAAAACAAATTACCACATGTTCTTGGTCAAACTGTTAGACATTATCACTGTTAATCAGATATACAAGATAAACAGTTACTATGGTAAAGACAAATACCAAGAGTAAAAAAAATCTCCATGACTTCATGGTTCTTACCTGTTTACTCTCCTAGGACACTTGTCTGGTTTAATATCTACCTCATAGAGGTAGACATCAATCTTTGGGATTTCAACTTGAAAACAGTTAGCCAGCAATTTAATGGGTTTGCCCATGGTGCCATAGCCAGGTCTTCTGGGCACCATGAGTAGGGGCTGGGCCCCAACGGGTCCTGCGAGGGAGGGGAAAAAAGTAACAATGTTACAAACTGTATTTGATAATCTTGTCAATCAGAGTGTGTTAGAATTTTAGGCATAGCTGATAATGGGGTTGAAGCCTCATGCTCAAAGATGACAATTTCTAACACCTCTACTTCTTTCCTCCCAACTTACTCCCCTTATTAAAACACACAAACAAACAAAACCATGAGTTCTTCTGGAAAATTGTTCCGGAATGGTAGAAAGAAGGGAAAACAATCACACAAACTCAGGAGAGCATGTGCAAACACAAAGCAGACCTAAACAGTGAGATAGCAAAGCAAACTCAGAGACTAGAAGGATTAGAGCAAATGAACAAAATAAAAACAATATACAGTAAGAAGGGTCAGCAAAACACAAGATCAGTTACTTCAAAATATAAATAAAATCTATAAACTCCAGACACTGAATGCATTATAAACACTGTGTCAATAAATTTGAAGGCTTGATGAAACAAATATGGCTTACTAACAAAAAATATATGAAATATGAAAAGTCCTCTGTTGACAAATATAAAGTGGTACAGTCACTTTGGAAAACAGTATGGTGGTTCCTGAAAACACTAAAAACAGAATAACCATATGATCCAGCAATCCTACTTCTGGGTATCTACCAAAAATACTGAAAGCAGAGTGATGAAGAAATAACTGCACACCTATGCTCACAGCAGCATTACACACAACAGTCAAAAGGTGGAAGCAACCTCAATGTACACTGATAGATAAATGGATAAACAAAATGTGATATATACAATGGAATATTAGCCTTAAAAAGGAAGGAAATTTTGACACATGCTACAATATAGATGAACCTTGTAGAAAGCATGCTAAGTTAAATCAGTCACAAAAAGACAATGTATGTATGATTCCTATTATTAGTATCGCAAAGTAAAAGGGTAGTTGCCAGGGGTTGGGAGAAAGAGAAAATGGGGAATTGCTGCTTAATGGGTCTAGTTTCAGTTTTTCAAGATGAAAACAGTTCTGGAGATTGGCTGCCTACAATGTGAATGTACTTATATACATTCTGAACAGTATATTTAAAATTGCTAGGATGGTTAATTTAACACTGTATTTGATCACAATTTTAAAAGAAACCTAAGTGACATCTAACATTGTTTTTATTTTTTATTGCCTACCCTTAGACAATCCACCACCATTGTTCATGTCCATGGGTCATGCATATTGTTGGGAACTGCCCTGCCTGGTTTCAGAAGTTGTAACCCCACCCCGTGGCTAAGGCTGAGTAAAAAGACCCTGGGACCATAAGCCACTAAGGAGACAAAGCTTATTTTCCCAACAGGGGTGTGCAGCCTCTGCCCCCTTTACTTCACCCTGCTTGGCCCCAGGCAGATGACTGGTTAGCCAATGACGGGTAAGACTCCTCAAGAGAGAGATGACCTAAGACAGGCATGGTTGCAATGGGGCCATCAGGAAAGAACTTGGGGGACTACAGAAAAAGCGGGTGATGGATCCTCACCCCTCGGCTTTGATGTAGCCTGAGTCTTCATTCTATCTGTAAGAAGTCTTCTAATCTCTCAGCTGCTTGCATCCTCCACCTGACTTAAGTCTGAAACAATGCTGGAGGTGGGTGTGGCCCTGTGTTGGAAAGGGCAGCTTCTCCGAGGCAATCAGGCTTAAGAAAGAATGCATAAAATCCTGTGAAACCTGCTTTGCTAAGAATGCCCTCAATTTAAATGATAAGGATCCAAGCATAAAATGAGTTTGTTTCCCAAAGTTTTATGGCCCTTTGGCTATCTGACCCTGACTCAGAATAAGCCCTCATACTTCTTTGAATGTTACCTATTGTTTGATCATTACTGCCTGACAATGATTGGGCTTTATGTATACACCCTGTATTCCTATACAAATTAAACCCAATAAAAGCCCATTAAGGAACAGGCTCAAGGCCCTTCTCCTTTGAGAGACTGGCCACCTTTCCTGCCCAAGCAGATCATGTATTGGTAGACTTATTCTCTTCTGTGATGGCCGGGGAGGGGAGTAAGGGGGACTCTGCTGGACAGAGCTCCCCCACAGGGTATAAGTTTTTTGGCTACTCCATTTCCTATACTGTACTTTACATCCCCATGGCTATTCTGTAACTATCTATTTGTACTTCTTAATCCCCTCACCTCTTCACCACCCCCCACAACCCTCACATCTGGCGACCATCAAAACACTCTCTGTAGCCATGCTTCTGTCTCTGTTCTTGTTTGCTTAGTTTGATTTTTAGATTCAATTGTTGATAGATGTGTATTTTTTGCCATTTTATTGTTCATAGCTTTGATCTTCTTTTTCTAAAATAAGTCCTTTTAATATGTCCTATAATAATGGTTTGGTGATCATAATCTCCTTTAATTTTTTTCTTATCTGGGAAGCTCTTTATCTGCCCTTCAATTCTAAAAGATTGCTTTGCTGGGTAGAGCAATCTTGGCTGTAGGTCCCTGCTTTTCATGATTTTGAATATTTCTTTCCAACCCCAACTAGTCTGCAGTTTTTGTTTGAGAAATCAGCTGACAGTCTTAAATGGGAATTTCTCTTCTCTTGCTGCTTTTAAGATTCTTTATCTTTAACTTTTGGCATTTTAATTATGATGTGTCTTAGAGTGGGCCTCTTTGCATCCACCTTGCTTAGGACTCTGTTCTTCCTGGATTTGCATGTATATTTCCTTCACCAAATCAGGGAAATTTTCTTTATTTTTTCAAATAGACTTACAATTTCTTGCTCTTTCTCTTTCCTTCTGGCACCCCTGTGATGTGACTGTTGGACCTCTTGAAGTTGTCCCAGAGGCTGCTTACACTATCCTCACTGTTTTGGATTCTTTCCTTCTTGTTGTTCTGATTGGTTGTTTTTTGCTTTCTTATGTTCCAAATCATTGATTTGATTCGCAGCTGCATCCGCTCTACTGCTGTTTCCCTGAAAATTATTTATTTCAATTAGTGTATCCTTTGTTTCTGACTGGATTTTTTTAATGTTGTTGAGGTCCTCACTAAGTTCCTTGAGCATCCTTATAACCAGTGTTTTTGAACTCTGCACCTGATAGATTGCCTATCTACACTTCATTTAGCTTTTTCTGGAGGTTTGATCTGTTTTTTCATTTGGGTCATGTTTCTGTACCCCCTCATTTTGGCAGCCTTCTTGTGTTTGTTTCTATGTATTAGGTGGAGCTGCTCTGACTCCATGTCTTGGTGGTGTAGCCTAATGTGGTAGATGTCCTGTAGGGTCCAGTGACATAGCCTCCCTTATTACCCCAGCTGGGTACTCGAGGTGCACCCTTCAAGTGGGCTGAATACACCCTCCTCTTGTAGTTGAGCCTTAGCTGCTGTTGGCAGATCAATGAGAGGGATTTACCTAGGCCAGTTGCCTGCAAGGACTGGCTGTGAACACTTGCCACCAACCTCAGCCCTCTGTGGAGGATTAGCTGTATAAGGGCAGGATGGTGGTGCTCCCATGTGGTGTGTACCTGTCCACTGGGTACTCTGGCCTGGGGGTTTCCGGGTGGTGCAGGCCAATGTCAGCTACCACCTGTGTTTTGCCCAGGGCCATCCTACCTGAGTTATAAAGCAATCTGAGGTTGCTGCTACTTGTGGTAGGATTGGAAATTCCCAGGGGAAGCCAATCTGTGACTCTAAGCTGGATGCTGCTAGTGCTGGGTCTGGGGCTCACTGAGGCCAGTTGTTGTTTATTTGAGAGGATTTAGGAAGTTGTGAAGCAAAAGCCAAGACCAGCCACTCATATGGAAAAGCAGGTTGGGTAGGCCTGTAAGTTGGGACGGGGGTAGTGTCTGTGGATCTCCAAGGCGGGTCAAACAGTGTTAGCCACGTTGATGCAGTCTCAGATACAGCACCAGCCTGCTGGTTCTGTGGGGGAGAGTCTAGAAAAGGGTCAATGGCCCCTGCTCCCTTGGTTCCAGACACTTCAGTTTCTCCCTGTATGTCACTAGTGCCTTTCAAACTGCTACCTCAGTGTTGGAGCTCAAAGGGAGTGAGACTGAGTAGTTGAGTATGTGTGTTGGTTCTTTAAAAAGAACTGCTGGAGCTCCAGAAATTTCTTTCACCGACTTAATCCCCACTGGGTTTGCAGCTGTAAGTTGTGGGGATTTATCTTCCTGGCACTGGAACCCTGAGCTGGGGGGCCTGGTGTGGGGCTGGGACTCCTTGCTCCTAAGACATCCCTCCCAAATTTTTATCTACCATACGTGGGTGAGGGATTAGCCTGTTTTGCATCTGTGCCTGTGTCCCTCCTACCAGTTTGGATAGATGTGGTTTCGTTAATTCCATAGTTGTCAGGCTTCCATTCAACTCAATTTCTGATGGTTCTGAGTGATGGTTGTTCTACATTTTAGTTGTAACTTTGATGTGGTTGCGAAGTAGCAAGCCATGTCTGGTTACGCTGCCATTTTGAGTGGAAGTCAACATTAAGTTTTTAAAGCTCAAAATGTTGTAGTGTTGTTAAAGTTCAAACAATAAATCCAGTTAATAAATTAATAACTATTATCTGAGTGGACTTACATTTAAAATATGTGAAAAGTCCCGTATCTTCAAATTATTTATTTGAAAATAATTAAATCCACAATTTAAAATATTTCCAAACACACTAAAAGATTACAGATTCAGAAGGCTTCACTAAAGAATATATCAAGTATTCAAGTGAAAAAATAATAGCAATCTTATATGAACTCTTCCAGAGAACAGGAAAAAAGTAAACATACCACAATTCAACTTATGATGCCAGAAAAACCCTGATACAAAAACCTGACAAAAACATTATGAAAAAGAAAAATTGTAGGACATACATACAAAAGTCCTAATAAAATGTTAATAAAATTTACCAATGTATCAAAAGAACAATACATCATTACCAAGATGAGTAAGAATATCAAGAATTCTTTTCACTGTGGATACAAGTACATTAAAGTGCTGCCTGTGTAATTTATTTTTAACTTTATTTTCATGTATCTATAAAATTTCTTCTGAGAG